ATACATGTTATTAAACTTGGTATTATTTTCTCCTGCTAACCTGTCTTGTTAATTATTTGGCCAGCCATAAGAACCTTAAGGAAAAGGGCAGAGGGAGAGTCTCCCTCTTCCCCCGACAGGTGCAATATAGGGCCTTTTCATTTTCAAAATTCTCTGGGGATACACTAAAAACCTGATCTGACATAAAATTCCTTGCAGTGTAAAATGTACCTCTGAGGATTTTAATGCACACATGGCATGTCCAGTGGTCAAAACCGAGCCCGACCCTGCCTTGCACACAGTGACGTCACTGCTGAGTGTCTTTGTTCTTAACAAAAGGCACAAATCCAGGCGACCTCGCCCCCCGGTCGGCCCCTGACCTCGGAGGCCATCAGGCCCTCCCGTCCTGTCCTGTCCCCGCTCTGGACAAGAACGCTCCGAGGGAAACTAAGAACATCTCGGTCCAGGAGGAGGAGGAAGAGGGGCCACCGCTGCGGGCTAACGCCGGGTCTGCCCCGGCCGGGAGCGGGCTCAGCTCGGACGCCCTATTGGCAGGGTGGTGTCAGCCACGTGAGTCCTGACGACCTGTCACTCAGGCGGCGGGGGACGGGGTCTGGGAGAACTGTCCAATCAGTGGCGACAGGGGCGGGCCCAACGAACAATCAGGGCCGCACGAGCGTGGCCCAGAGAACTGTCCAATCAGGGGTGCCAGAGGCGGGCTTCGGGAAACTGTCCAATCATGGCCCCCGAGGGTGGGAGTGCCTGGAGCACTGCCCAATCAAGACGCCAGAGCCCGGAGCCCCGTCCAATCAGAGCCGGAGGCGGGCGCGCTAGCAGCCGCGTGGACGTCGCTCTCGTCCGGTCGCGTCCTGGCGCACACCTGCCCCGCGCGGCTCCAGGTGTTCCGTCACCGTCGCTCTCACCTGCGGGAGCCGCAGGGCCGCTGGGAGGACGCCCGGAGGGTCCGGAGCGGGCGGAGATGGTGAGTGCGCGGGCCGGGACCGGGAGGGGCTGGTGCGAAGCGGCCGGAACCGGCTGGAAGCAGCTGC